ATATATAATTTACCATTTATTAAAGACAAGCAATTCTGGATAGCAATGAAGTGATATGCAAGTTTATTTTTACATTACATGTTGAGTCTTGGCTGACTATTAGTTACTATAGTTACTATAGAACAAAGAACGTTTCAGGCTTTCCCAGAGCCGATCAATATTTTCATTCTGTAACTGTTAATTCTAGCACCACCTCACATAAATATGTAGTAAAAAATGGTAAAAATATGTCTAGTGATATTTTGGATGTGTTGGAAATTCTGTTCTAATCTGAAGTCAAAATTCACGTAACACTATTCTATGAAACTTAAGTTAGCAACTCAAACAAATTTTAAAATCAAGCATTCTAGCACAATATAATGCAACGATATTTAATTTGATACTTACATGCTGAGGCATGATGATAGGAAAATATTAAAAGTCTGTATTTTCTGTAATCAAGCTAGTATATTTTTTTTAGAAGCAGAAAACTGTGTTCAGTAAACACACTGCAGTTCATAACATACAGTAGTCTCAAATCTGAGCTGTGGTGTCTGTCTTAGGCAGTGTTTGGTTACGTACAATTAGATGCATGCCTTGTGTGTTTCGAACCAAGACTTATGAAATCACAAAGAACACAGGCTAATGCTGTGAAAAACACCTCAGGTTCTCAATGACACCTTTGCCTCTTGCCAAGGATTTTTATAACCTTCACGTTGAGTTAAGCTAATTTCTGTGGGGGTCATAATTCACAGTTTGAGAAACTACGTTATAGACTCTAAGGGGCAGATGTAAGGGTCCTCTTGAGGAACTGTCTGCCTTGCCAACTCTTCATTTTCCTTCACTCATAAAGCTCACCTTTGGTTTGATTTTGATTTTTTTGTTGTTGTTTTGGTCTTTTTTTTTTGAGACAAGGTCTCCCTCTAGCCCCAGCTGGCTTTCACTTGCTATGTAGACCAGGTTGGTCTCTACCTGTCTCTAAAGGCATGTTCCACCACACCTGATCACCTTTGGTTTGATTTTAAAGATAAAAATTAAATAAACCCAGCCAAGGTTTAGAAACTGCAGCCATGTTTTAGGCAGGTTCCCATATTTCTTTTGGACATAAGAGAAGACATCTTAAAAATCTTATCGAAGCCTGGCATGTAGGCATATTCCTTTAATCCAGCACTCAGGAGGCAGAGGCAGGCAGATCTCTGTGAGTCTAGTGAGTTCCAGGCCAATTGGGGCTGGAGAAAACCCAGACTCAAAAAACCACAGGAAGGAAAGAAGGAAGGAAGGAAGGAAGGAAGGAAGGAAGGAAGGAAGGAAGGAAGGAAGGAAGGACACAAACATAAAATGTTACTGATTTGATTGAGATGAGAGTCTTCCCAGACTCAAAAAACCACAGGAAGGAAGGAAGGAAGGAAGGAAGGAAGGAAGGAAGGAAGGAAGGAAACATAAAATGTTACTGACTGATTTGATTGAGATGAGAGTCTTCCCACATTGCCCAGGCATGTCTTGAATGGGCTCAGCTGAGCTGCCCACCTCAGTCCCTGGGTACCTGAGCCTGGAGGTCTACTCTACAATACGTAAGAAGCAACAGATTGTAGTTTTGAATACTTACTATAAAGAGGCTGTCAGTTTTTTCTAATTTTGACTATTTTTTTCTTCCCCAATTCTCTTTTGCTTAAATTTGAACCATGAAGAAATTAGAAAAAGAATACATGGCAGTAGGGAAACCAAAGCATTTATTACTTTAAAAAATGTTATGTTAAAAATACTTATCTTCTTTTATTTATTTATATATATGTGCCTGTGTGTGTACCCATGCCCATGAGCCTTCAGTCTAGTAGTGGGCATCAGATTTCTCTGAGCTGGAGTTATAGGCATAACTAGGATCCAAACTCTGGCACTCAGGATTAAGCAGCAAGCTATCATAACCATCGTACTATCTGCCCAGCCCTTTTATTTTTAAATCATTCTCTTTCTCTTTGTCTCTCTCTCTCTCCTTAAACTTAGCAGGCCATGTAGTCACTGCTTGTTTTTTGCCCTGTGGGGAACATAACCTTTCCACTTAGAACGCAAGAATTAAGGCTTAATGAAGTTCTTTTGTGATTTCAATTAAATTTTATAACTTTAAAGAAAACTCTACTTAGAGTTTGATGTTTGAAAACAACATATGGTTTGCAAGTCAAGCTCTTAATTTCAAATCAATTTAATTCTTTCGAGGAGAATTACAGAAACAAATCATTTTTTCTTAACATGATGTCACAAAATGAATTATTTTTCTTAACATGATGTCGCCAACAATAACAAACCTTGTTTTACTGGAATTAAAAAAGGATTAGTTCAGTTCCTGGTCCTTGTTCTTATGGAGGTGACAGTCTGTTTGAGAACAGAAACTTAGTAGCTTTTAGGACCTCCTGTTGCTAACCTGTGAAACACTGAGGTTTCTTATATAGAATTTCCAATTCACTAGCTCATTATTTTGATATGTTAATCCAGGACTTGCTTTTAGGACCTTAAAAGTTCTTTTCTGAGAAATTTTCAGTTCTCCAAGCATATTTTCAAGGGCAGAGTTGTTTGCTGTAAAGCTCCTTTCTGTAAGAATATTCTAAACAATAACTGGGATGTACTTAGAAAATTATTTGTTTATAGGAGATTAAAATTCATCTGAGCTTTCTGTATTTTATCTGGCAGGCTTACTCATGCACCTGCTGCTTATGAGAAATTAAATGCCACTAACAGTGGAATTCCTTATAGAGTGAGGTTGCCCTGTCAGTGTATTAGGAAAGGACCTCATATTGATGAAGGTCCTGTGGGTTGTTTCCAAATGAATACTTACTCCAACTACTGGCACCCTTTACTTTTCCGCAAGCACCAGCAATGGGAGCACTGGAGTGGAGGCAGCAAGACCCTTCATCTGATGATACCTACGACTTTATCTCTGGTATTCTTAGCTCTTAGGTCAATGGCCTTAATGAAGACCTACATTCTTTTTTTATTTCATTTTATTTTACTTTTTAAAATTATTTATTTAATAACCACATACTTAGAAGCATTTCATTATAGCAGCATTGACATATTCAATAACAATTTCCAGAGCTAAGATGCATCTCTTCCAAAACTGGCTATAAATTTTTAAGTTCACAGTTGAATTATTACACTTTTACAATATTGTACTCAGTATAAACCCTATAACATATAAAATTAATTGAGATTTTAACCTTTAAAAAGATCTCCATTTCATTATTAAAATACAGTTTTCTTACAGAAAGACTCATTGGTTTTGCTAATAACACTTAGATGTTGGCACATGCATCTCTAATCTATATCTGATTATTACTAGCCAAAATTGTTTGCACTTGGATCCTTGGCGCCTGTGTATGTCTATAAAGTCATTGAGTAGATTTCAGTGGTAATGTTTATCACCTCTACTAATTAGCATGATGTAAATTTCCATGCTTCCTCCTAAAATATAATACATTTAAAAATTTTTATTGATTTTTTTTATGGTGTGTGTATATCACACAGAACATCCCAAACCATCTTATTCAAATAGAATGTTGAACTCAGTATAAGCCCTGTAAGACATTAAATTGAATGAGTTTTTAACCTTTAAAAAAGGTCTCCATTTCATTTTACAATATAATGTTCCTTGCAGAAAGACTCATTGTTTTTGCTACTAACACTGAGATGTTAGTGCATGAATCTCTAATCTATATGTATCTGATTATTAATCGGTTGCACTTGGATCCTTGGCGCCTCTGTATGTCTATGAAGTCATTGGGTAGATTTCAATGCTAATGTTTATCACCTCTACTAATTAGCATGATGTAAATTCCCATGCTTCCTCCTCAAATATAATACATTTTTTTAATTTGTTTAATTTTAAATTGATTTTGTGTGTGTGTGTGTGTATGTGTGTGTGTGTGTATCACACAGAACATCCCAAACCATCTTATTCAACTATATACCCACTTCCCAGGTGGCACCCTCCCATAGCCTCCCTCCCCCTACTAGAACCCTTATACTCTGATATCCCGGTTACTGTCTGGTGTGTTGTTGGCACCGCAGCCATTCCCCACTAATTGCCCTTCTGGTGGATCTACTCAGCCT